CTATATAGACATAATAAAAAAAACTAATAGAATGACAACATGACTACAACTGTAACTAAAACTAAAATAGATAACTAATACAAATCAAACTACATTTGTTTATCAGTAATCCTAAAAAAATAACACTGAGGCAAACACACATGCTAAAATAACAACAACTTACTGACACATAGTAAGAAATAGTTTATAAAAACCTGAAACAGAAGTGGAAAGAGGAGAAATAAAAAGCGATACTTATCCTTTGCCGGTGTCCCTGCCCGGTGGAGTCGCACGGTAGAGTCGATGGTCTTTACACTCTTCGGTCTTCACACGACCGCAGCCGCGGTAAACTAAGCTTCTTTTTTATTCGTTTAACAAAACTCAAATTGAATTCAGCTGGACACACTTTCCTGTTTATACTGTCATCATTTACTTGCAAGTTGTTCCAAACCTTTCTTCTGCTCAACACAAATGATTATATTTTGAAGAATGTTGGTAACCCAAACAGTTTCTGGCCCCCATTGACTTCCATAGTATTTTTTGCATTCTATGAAAGTCAATGGCAACCATCAACTGTTTGGTTACCAACATTCTTCAGAATATCTTCTTTTATGTTTAACAGAAGAAAGAAACTCATAAAGGTTTGGAAAATCTTGAGGGTGAGTAAATGATGACAGAATATTTTATTTTTGGGTGAACTGTCCCTTTAAATTTGCACTTATGAATATTCCTTTTAAGTATATTATTTCTGTATTAAGTACTCACAAAATGTGTTCAAGTGTACTTCTTCACAAGGGTATTTACACTACACAATACTATTGCTGTAAATTTCATTTTCACAGAGGAGTGTAACTTATCAGTCTTCCTTCTGATTGGGAGGAATGAAGGATTTAAACCTGCAGAAGAACCTGGTGTGACCGGATCCAGCATCTAGATCATTGGTCTGTGAGCCCCAGTCCTATTTTATGGAGTTTTAGATATGCCTGGTTACTTCATATGTTCCTATGTACTTGCATTGACCTAGTTAACACATGTTGTGCGAGAGGGTCACCACAGGCAAAGAGGATTGTGGGAAATGCACCCCTAGAGTGTCCAGAATGATTAGGGGCAAAAACAAAACTCACAAACACACATAAAAATGTTTTGTTGTTTTTAGACAGGTGTGTGTTTTTGCTCCCAGCTGAAGGCAGAGCGTAGCAAACTGTATAAATTAAGCGGATGATAACTGCCCGATGGCGAAATGTATCCATCTACCACATCTCCTCTGTTCTCTTTGATCATTATATCTTTCATCAATTATTCCCAAGAGTCTCCCGCCTCTTTCTGTTTGTCTTTTTTTGTCTGTCTCTCTGTCTATGCAAATGTCTCTGTCTCTGTCTAACTCAGCCTCAGCCAATCAGAGAGCTCCAATTCAGAGCATCAGGAATCTCAGCCAATCAAAATCCACCACTCAATGCACATGTCCAAATTCGTAGCGGCACATCTTTTGGGTCATATATAGTTCATCTCAAATACAGCAAACTAACAATGAGGATGCTCGCTCTGTAGTGACTCATCCAGCATGTTTGTTTACCATGGCAGTTTCTTCATGCGAGAAAGAGAAGAAGCAGGCATTTCTCCAGTTATCATTTAACGCTTTAGACGACAAGCAGCTAGTCTTGTTTATCTTATTAGAGTCAACACGACTGGAGAGTCGAGGTAAATATGTCAAGGTAAGAATGTCTTATGCGTTCTCTTTTAATGTATTTGTAGCTTTCTCCATATCTCACTGTAAGTTCAGTTGCTCTTTTGTCTGATTCAGTTGGTTCAGCTTTATGCATTGTGACACTGACCCAGTTCTACTAAATACATTTTGCATATGTAAATGACTGCAAATGCAAATGACTGCATTGCTAATTAGAATCTAATTATTATATTAAAAGAAATCAGTGTCTGTATTGCATCAAGAACTATTATGGCATTGTGATCAAATTATGGCACCTTATTATATACCATGGTACTGAATGATTTTCATACCCATGTACCATATACCATGGTACATAGATCAAAAAACATACTAATACCATGGTACTTTTACATTTACCCAGCTACTTAATGGTTATCACATCCATTTACCATGGTGGGTGCACCAAAGAACATCATGGTACACATAAAAAAATACCGCAGTATTTTGATATATACCATGGTATGGAATGATTACTACACTCAGAAATAAAGCTATTTACATGGTATTTCAAAAAAACAAACAAAAAAAAACATGGTACTTTTTGGTAATTTATTAGCATTAGAAGCTTCTCAAGCATAATAAATGGCAGCAACTCTTTTACAGGATAATAGTGTATAATGTATGTATTTTGGTGTACGACTCGCTTTCTCATTTTTAATTCAAATGAATGCCACTAAAGAGCATCATACAATAGCAGATGATTACAACCACATAATTTCTCTCTAAATAATAATATATGCTTTCCCGGAGCACACGATAATAATTATATGCTAAAAAAAAAAAAATTAGCATATAATGATACAATCTCCTAGTGTGATCTAACACACGCGTTTAATCAAAGGATAAATCAACATAAGATTCAGCATATTTAACATTGAGGTTGGGATAGGCAAAGACACACCTGGTGCATTCTGGGAACATTCAACGCTGTCGGTGAGTTTGGATGTATATAAGAAACCATCGACCGTTGGCTGTGCCCTGAAATTACCATATACTATGTCAACTCTCTCCTAGCAAACCGATCACTGCTTTTCTCATTATTACGGCTGCGATATACATTCATTGATGTCGTTGGGTTTAACATGCGAGCGACTCACTGACCAATGAGTGCAAACTGCAGTAGGAACACTGGAACATCGTCTGGTAAGACATTTCAGACTACATTTGTGACCTTCAGACCTAAAAAACTACTAGCAGACCTTTGCAGACAAAATACTGGCCTATAGATGTCAAATTAGCTGAGAAAACAGCATAAACTTCTCAAACCTTCACTCAACAAGCACAGGATGGTGTAAAATGTAAGGTAAGCAATGCTGCACTTTTGGTTTTTATTAAACAGCTATCTTGGAGTTAAAAATATTGGTTCTGTCTGGTTAACCGCAGCATTCAGTGGTCAAATACTTTCATAGAGTGACACTAAACTGAATAATTAAATGTTCTGTAATATTTTAATATTAGGAATACTATAGGAATTATAATATTAAAGGAGTAGTTCACCCAAAAATGAAAATTTGCTGAAAAATTTCTTATCCTCAGGCCATGCAAAATATAGATAAAATTGTCTCTTCATCAGAATAGATTTGGAGAAATGTAGCATTGCATCACTTGCTCACTAATGGATCCTCTGCAGTGAATGGGTGCCGTCAGAATGAGAGTGCAAACAGCTGATAAAAACATCACAATAATCCTCAATTAAAATAGACTCCAGTACATAAATTTACGACTTAAGTGAAAACCTGCATGTTTGCAAAAGAAAAAAAAATCCATCATTAAGATGCTTTTAACTTCAAAACAATATACATTCTCTATACATTCTTTCTCCAGTGAAAAAGTCTTCTTGTCTGAATCAGGAGAGAAATATGCACAAATCAAGCAGCGTTTACAAGCGTAAACAGTCCAAAACAGATCTAAACAAATATGTCGGTGGATTTTGATGTGAGAGAACAACAGGTGATGGACATTTTCACAGGAAGAAGTGTCATTATGTATTATGGACTCACATTTTTCCCAGAAGTGACCGTTTGAAGTCATGATGATAGATTTGTTTCTTACAAACACGCAGCTTTTCACTTCACAAAACATTAACTGATGGACTGGAGTGGTGTGGATTACTTGTGGATTATTGTGATGTTTTTATCAGTTGTTTGACTCTCATTCTGACGGCACCCATTCACTACAGAAGATCCATTGGTGAGCAAGTGATGTAATGCTACATTTCCTCCAAATCTGTTCTAATGGACAAACAAACTCATCTACATCTTGGATGGCCTGAGGTTGAGGACATTTTCAGCAAATATTCATTTTTGTGTGAACTATTTCTTTAAATATTATAATTTTGAAAAAAAAAATCCAAATCACCAAAATACTTTTAGCCAATCAGATGCCTACAATCCCTGCTTGTTATTGGTGCCTGATTGCTGACCTAACTTTGACTCCACTGCCACAGTGAGTGAAGGTGATGTCACCAGTATGTGTGTGCTTCTGGAACGTTCTTCCGTCGCTTTACGGCTTAATTGGTTTCTCACATAAATCAAGTGCTTTCTCTAACAATGTTTGACCCTGACTTGTACAGCTTTACAACAGCATGCATGCATCAGAGAAGGATTTGTTGGCAACATAAGATCAGAAGCTCCTGAACTAATTCTAACCCCTAAAAGATGCAATTTCACCAGAGCTTTGGAGAATGAGAGAGAGAGAGAGAGAGAGCGCGAGCTCTGTGACATGCTCTACTGGTGAAGCTGAGTACTGCAGTCACATTTGCAGTCAGCATGGAGATCAAACACAGACAGTTCCCTCACCTGTGTCATCCTGAAGGGAGTTCTCTTCATAAAAACCTGCAGATGAGAGAAAGAGTGAGAGGATATGAGGGGAAGAGAAAAAGAGGACATTAGGAAGTTGGTATTTATACAGCAGAATTTTCTAAAAGACACAAGAGGTCATTACTGTTTTTGACTTGTATAAATTAATAAAGTTTTCTAGGTTTATTTGTTGTGTTATTTTAGTATTATTTATAAACCATGTAATATTTATTAATATTTTGAGTTGGATTTTAAAATGTTCAACATTTTTAGTTTCATTTTTAGTAATTTTGTTATCATTTTTATTAGTTTTTGCTTTCTTAAAAAATATTTTTATTTAGCTTTAATTTATCTATTTCAGTTTTAGTAATTCAGCTTAAACTTATTTAATTTTCCCATTTTAAATGTTTTATATATACATTTATTTAACTTTATTTCAATTAACACTAAATTAAAACTATTTTTAATAGTTTTAGTTTTTGTTAACCATAAGTTTTTTTTTGTTTTTTTTTGTAAATTTGTTTAATACTATGTCTGTCGTTGAGGTCCTCGTTGTTTTGCGCCAAATAATTGCTGTTAAATCATTTATATTTAAATACATTCTTTGTAGTTAGCTGCTTTTCTAAATTGACTTTAAATTATAAGTAGCTTTAACAGTTTTGAGTGACAAGGATGAGTAAATTCCTTCAATAAATATGTTTGCAGGCATTTAGGCTATTATCATAATCTATTTCAAGCTATAATGAACATTAAAATGTTCTTATAATGGACACACTTAAATGTTGAACAGCAGTTCATCATACCACACAAAACATCAAGAGCTCTTTAAAACAAAGCCTCCTCTCTTTCTTAAAACAACACTTTCTCTATCTATCTTCCTCTCATACACACACACACACCCATCTGCCCAGTCCTCTCACTTCTGTCCCTCAGGACGTGACCTCCGCGACCTCTTCAGAAAGTGCCACGTGTGTGTGTGTATGAGTGTGATCTCTTTGGCTCGATGACAGCTGCGGATTTTTGATCTGCCACACGCATGGCTCCACACACACACTTCAGCTATCCACGGCATATGGTGGAGCAGAACACACACGCACTCCACCAACCGCAGGCTCCTTGAAGATAATCTAATATCTGTGATGGCTGTAGGCCGTTGACACTGAGCTACAGTAGCGAATGTTCACCGTCTGCCTTCTGTGCCATACATTTTCTCACTCCATCCCACTCAACCCTCCTCAGACCATTAAGCTACAGTATTTAACTTCTGGATGATGTTAAACACATAAGATATCTATAGGGCTGGTTCTCCTCAATCTAGTAATACTGCTATAATTTCCATTAGTGGTTCACCAAATTGTGTTTTTCAGTTATATATACACATACAGTGGCTCTAAAAAGTTTTTGGACACTTAAGATGTTTTACATTAAAATGTTTGAACATCACTGCAATTAATAGCAAAATATCAAACCAAGTGGCGTTTGCATGTTGCACTAAAGTTTGACAACCAGAGTTTATAAATTATAATATAAATATCAGTATATCTATGGTTTTGTCAAATTTTATGTCAAATGTTTTTATTCAATCAAGAAATCAAAATACATTTATAATGTTTAAAAAAAAAACTTTTTTTTTTTTCAAAATATATACTACTTCGTATGATATTTTCAATATAAAGCAATGAAATTCATACATGTTGTGCCTTTAAAGTTTGCAAATACTTTGTGGTCACTGAAAATATTTATAAAATTACTATTGTAAATTTTAATTTAAATTATAGAATTTAGTGATATTAATATAATGATGGCAAATAAAATGTTTTTATAAACACTAAATACATTGATATTAATAACACTAAATGTGTACTTTATATAAAATTTAAATGACAGTTTAATGTCATAAAATGGAAATGTTTTTATGAAAAATAAATATATCAACATTAATAAACGTTGTTATTTTTTATTTAAAAAAATTATATATTGATATTAATATTTTAAAAATGTGTATTTTATGTACAATTGAAATGACAATTGAATAATAGAAAATTTTGTTTACAATGCTAAATATATTTATATTAATATTAATAAATGCACATTTTATACACAATTTATTTTATATAAAATGTATTTACATTTTTAAATGACAATTTAATAATAGAACATTAATAAAAAAAATATTATTATTAATATGTAAATTTATTGATATTAATATCAATGTTGATTTTTATTTATACATACAATTGATATGGTCTTTTATGAATCTGTACATCATAAATTGGAGGTCCATGAGAAGCAATGGAATAGGTTGTAAGCTAAAAAAACAGCATGATACTGCGCTGCACCATCTGTATTCACATAGGACAAACAAACACACACACAGTCCAGGCATGCATATACACACACAGGTATAGAGGCATATGTGTACAAAAGCACACACACACACCAACACCCCACCCCCCGCCTGCAGAAGAGAAGGATGAGGCTGCCCAGATGTCTTCTGTTTCACTTGGCTGATGGAAGGAAAGAGGGATCAGGAGGGGAGCTGTACAGATGTAGTAGTGATATGTAACCTGAATATCCATTTATTTTCCATTTTCCAGAGCTTCATCATTCAGATCCAAGGACATGAGATCCCAGCCGACCCCCCTGGTCTCTGCTCATCACAATGTGTGTGTGCATATGAGTATGTGTGGTCATCTACACTATTTTAGCAAATGGCTGCAATATAACAAAGAGTGAAAAATTTAAGGGGGTCTGAATACTTTCCGTACCCACTGTATTCAGGCCCAAATTTAAGATTAATGTACACTGAAAAAATCTGGATTAGGATTTGCTTAAAAAAAAAAAAAAGCTAGGAAACAATTTTCACTCAGTAACTGCTAGTAAACATCACAAATAACTACAGAGAAACTGCAAGTAAAACACCGATTCCAATGAGATATTTTGAAGTAGAAAGAATAAAAAAGTATAAGAATATTGAAACATATTCCAATAATCTTTTTTTAAGAGTGTGCTTGAATCACATATAAAATGTCTTGTTTTAACATAAACAACCTAATAAACTTAATGTGATGCATATTTTTCAGTAATAAATGGGTAATAAATAAGATTTCTGCACTCAGAAAATATTGTGGCATAGTTTATTATTAACTCTTTACAGCTATTTTTGCATCTATTTATTATGAACTATTTGCATGCTATTGCACAGAAGCAACTACTTGCATTTTCTTCAGCTTCAAGTTAAAAATCTAGTTGCTTGATTTACAACAGAATCATATTTTAATTTCTGCATGGCAGCAATTTATTGCATGGTGTTTTAGAAGTGATTCAAAATAAGAGTTGGTTCAAATATGAAAAAGAAGAGAAAATGTTAAGCATCTTTTTAAGATGTTTGTTATGTTATCTATAAAAAATGAAACCTAAAAGATTTCGAAAACACCGATCCAACTAGGACTGTCCCGGTGAGGGAATTTCCCTTGCGGTAATTTTGAGGGCGGTTGCTGCGGTTTGCTCGTCAATAGCGCGGTATTGCGATATTGCGGTTATCGCGACAGCCCTAGATCCAACACCTTTAAAGGGACAGTCCAGCCAAAAATGAAAATTCTGTCATAATTTACTCACCCTCATGTCGTTCCAAACCTGTATGACTACTGAACACAAAAGAAGATACTTTGAAGAATGTTGGTAACTTGGTGACTTCCATTGTATTTTTGTCCACACAATGGAAGTCAATGGAAACCGAAGCTGTTTATTTACAAATATTCTTCAAGATAGGTCTTCCAAAGAAGAAAGACAAGTCATACAGGTATGGAATGACATGAGATTTAAAAGAATTTTCATTTTTGGCTGGACTATCCCTTCAAAATGCAATAGAGGTTTTCTGCTTTAAAAATGCAATTTATACGGCAAAATTAATGGAAAACAAAAACTCTCATGGGGCAGAACAAATCTACCTGTTCGACATGTCCGTCAAGGTTTCTATGGCAACAAGAGGGTCAAAACAAGGGGTCATGGAATGGCCAGGGGCAAGGGGGGGTTTTATGATCCCTGTGTGGGTGGGAAGACAGGAAGTTTATCTTCAATGCGTTTATGACGTGTGTTTGTTTATTTGTGGGGGAAGGGCAACCAACCTTATAGGTGAAATCTTTAATCACACACACGCACATGCACACAAACCCCCTTTCACAGTAATTATACTACTAGTGGAGGAAATTTGAGTTTTTGTTTATTTTAGCTTGATATTTAAAGTCTAATTTATATAAATCACCAAAAAATAATTACTTCTTATAGTGAAAATGTATTTAAATGCATGTGCATATAAAGCACATACATGTTGGCATCTCCTTCCTCTTTCTTTTTCTGCTCTGTAAGGTCAGTGAGAGGAGAAAGGTCACTCAGAAGTGAAAGGTCAAGGCTGTTGACTATACAGTTGTATTCTGGTATGTGCAGTGACCAATCCAGTGTTTCTATAGCAACACTGATCAGCTAGACTTAACGTAACTGTTGAATTGATGAGTTTCAGGTTCTATAAATATGAAACCTGTCATGTTGAGTTCATGTGTGTTTGTGTTGTCCGCAGTTGCTGTATGTGTGTGTGTGTGCATATCTGTGCCGAACAGATGCTGGAAATGCAGCTGTAAAATCTGGAAGTCCTGGCAACCTTTGTGTGCGCTAAAAACAAGCTGGTCATCTTAAAAGTGTATGTGCATTCTCCTTCATGGACTGAAAGCTTCGGGCTTTTCTCTCTTCAAACAATATTCAACCTGATGGTGCAAAAAAAAAAAAAAAAAACTAAGTATAGTACTTTCTTAGTCCTTACATCATAAATGTAACATTATTCATAAATAATTATAAGTAAATGCATGCATTTACGCCAACAATAATCATTCATTCTCTTCAGACAGTAATGTTAAATCATTCTCTTATTACCAGTCCATCTGACACACCTCTTTCCAGAGGGTGAAGACATGAGCCCACTTTACCAGTAGAAACCAATGATTAATTACATAGCAGGGAGATTAATTCACTTTCTGCAAATTTCACATTATTTTGCATATTACCAGGGTCATAATCATTATAGATTTTGAAGTTAATGCAACCCCTTGAATAAAATTACATTAATAGCTGACCAAATTTTTTTTTTGATGTTTTGATGTTTGATTTTTTTTAAATGATCACATTTGCTGCCCCAATCCTTTATATGCAGTAACATCTTTAGACTGCAAATTACAACATTCTTCCAACACAAAAAAATAAAGGCCCAAAAATTCCTTTTACCTTTCAGTGAACAGTTCTAAAAACGAACCTTTTTTTTCTTAGCGTGAAGAACATTTGATAGATTTCAATTTTATAGATTTCATTTTTATAGATTTCATTTTATAGAATCTTTTATAGATGCAAAGTGTTCCATGGATGTTAAAGGTTCTTTGTGGAATCATAGATGAAGATAAAGAACCTTTAGTTTTAAGAGTGAATGATCTCAGGACCACCACAGCCCATAATAACCCAAATATGGGCTTTATTAGTAAACAGAGCAAAGATATTCAACTTTAAATGTTTTTCCAGATTTAAAAAAAAAAAAAGCATTAGACAACTACTCTCCCAATCTTACAAAAAGTATATATTTAATGTATTATTAATAATAATATTCTAAACAATGTACATTTATTAATAAATACAATCAAAAAAAAATTTTTTTACATAGTGTTATTTGATTTCTCTTCATCGATTTATTTTCACTGATTAAAAATGCTACAGCTGCTTGTTTGTTGTCATTGACGTGTTTTTGTGGCGCTCGAGGGTGATTCGCTCAAGTTCAAAAGTTCATCTTTTACGATTCCTCGCGGACGTGCATATAAAAAACATTCCTCAGCAGCGCTTTAAAAGACCTCACTGTCCCCAAACTCCAGCTCTGGACGTCCATTCATCACATTACACACATTTAACTCCATACAGGGGTAAAATTACAAATTGCATAAACACTGCACAAAATTCCTTTGAGAAAGCTCTAAAGGTAGACCACACTATTTAAAACAAACCTGGAGAGGATACTTTGAGAAACAATAAAGCAAAACAATACACTTTGCCCAAATTATGCCCTCGTGAATCTATAATAAGATTCAAAACTGTAACTGAAGCGTCTTCATTTTCATCTGAGACCGCATAACTGTGAACGAGCAACAGAAACTCACCGCTGCTCAGTAATTTGTCCCGTTTGGAGAAGTCAAATCCGTTGGGTCGGTTCTCCACCTCCATCCTCCTGTAGATGAACTGAGCGTGTCTCTCCGCGGTCCGCCCGCACTCTGAGGTCTGACCTCTGCGAGCCCTCTCCTCTCCGCGCGCTCATGTGAAAACACCTTGCTTAGGTCACGTGACGACACGCCCCCGCGACGCCATCTGGGATTTGCAGTTCATCAAGCAGATAGATAGATAGATAGATAGATAGATAGATTTTTACACATTTATCTCTCTTATGTTTAATAATGTATTTATTTAATACATAAAATTGTAACAGATGGTTCATGTCATAAATATGATATTTTGGTATGATAGCCACCATGAACTCTGCTCACATTTTGAACACTAATTATAAACTTTATAACAGAATCACAGAGACTATTCGACAGTTTCATTGTCCTCTTCTGCCTCCCTCTGGTAATTTACTTCAATACACCTTTAATTAACTGTGCGTGGCATACATTTAATGCCAGTGATGAAACTAGCCTTAAATAGCGTACACTTTATGTTCAAAATAATATTTTTAATTTTTAAAATGTAATTTCAACCACTTTTTTTTTTTTTTCCTTTTAAACACAACAAGGTTTGTTCATTATTCGTAGAGGACAAATAAAATAAAATGATTGTGAAAACAGTTTTTTTTTTTTTTTTTTAAATAGATTCACACACATCGGATAATTATAAATACAATATCAATAGTAGTAATATTTATGATAGGCTATTTGAACGCTTTTGAGTTTACATATATTTTGAAGAATATCTATGAAGGTATTTTTGGTGCAAAACAACTGAGCGTCCGTGACAGGTTTGCAACTTTTGTCTGTGACTTCAGATTTACTGATACACATGTGTGGCTATTCTCTACAACTACAAATTCCGCTGTCACGGACGCTCAGTTGTTTTGCACCAAAAATACCTTCATAAATATCTTATATGTTTTTATATATATATATAATTCACCACATAAATTGGCATATATTATAATACAAACAATTTGAGTAAAACCATATTAATTTTTTACTTAGCCTACCTTTTTTTTCAGCGATTTGCGCGTCCAGCAGGTGGAGGCGTTGCGTTAAGATGAGAGAGAGAGAGAGAGAGAGAGAGAGAGTGTGTGTGTGTGTGTGCTTGTGTGCATATAGCAAGGTTATCACTAGCTTCTTGTGACTGGTGATTCTAGGCTATTATTTCAAGAGAGAGGTTGTAGTGGTGGGGATGTTGTAGTGGTGAGAGAGAGAGAGAGAGAGAGAGAGAGGTTGTAGTGGTGGGGATGTTGTAGTGGTGGGGATGATGATGTTGGGTCTGCAGTAGCATCAGAGCACATCTCACACATTCACACAGAGGAGCTTCATAGACCGGCGAGATGTGGCGGATAGTGGAGCTCGTGGCGTGTTTACTTATGATGTCCAGTCATGTATCATCTCAGAACAAGGTAAGAAAGAGTCAAAGTTTGAGAATTAGTTTTGCATTTATGTGCATTTTTAAAAAATATATATTATTGCAGAACTAGATCATGCAAAAAAAATAAAAAATAAAAATAAATAAATAATCGCTTATTCCATTACCAAACTTCACTGTAATCATGCTAATCATACTAAAACGTTCCATTCTTTTATGCACGAACTATTAAAATATAGAAAAAGATTTATTTTACTCAGTTGCATACAATAGGTGTTCAGTTATTAAATTTTTTTATTTTTTTTATTTATGTAGCCTACTCCACGCATGATATAACGTTATCAGTTGGAAGTTTAGTCTTGTTGAATGACTTGTTTTCAAAATAAAAGCGGATATGTTCAGTTGATTGGGATTTGGTGTTTTTATAGTTTCAGTGATTATTCGCACGGGTGGGCGCTTTGAAAGTGTTTGGATTAAACTCTTCAGCAGGGCAGACACACTGCGCGCAACGCACCTCGGGCACGAGTTCAAAGGTCTCGGGTTCTGGAGTGAAAAGATATCATAATATCACTGTCTAAAATCACAGGTGCTCAATCCTGCTCCTGAAGCTTTCTCGCTGTGCTGCTCGAACTATAATCTAATACACCTGCACAGAAGAACATTCGCTTGCTCTTTCACAGCTCTTTAGCCTTAATGTTACAATTAAAAGATCACCACACAAGACGCTTTTCAAAAATGGCACTTCTTTCAGCAACTTGCAGAATGATATCAGAATTTTTTACAAGACTGACAGTGGTTAGCCCAATACATCTGAAAGGTTTTGAGGAACGCAAAATATATATTATTTATTATAAATATATCCTTTAGCACAATATAGGAAAATCAAATGTTGCCTAAAGGTTTTTCCAGAGCTTTCCACCCCACATAGTGCCTCAAGCATCTTTTCATTTTTTTCAGTGGATGAATAATTGTGGCCAAAACTGATAGCTGGTATTACAAATAGTGTTTTGGTTGTTGCTTTAAAAAGTATAAGAAACCCCCTCCAAAATAAAGCGTCAAGCCATTATAATAATACCTTTTTTGACTGTTTGTTTGAATCAGAAAAAAATAAGCTCTGATTTAATTAGCTTCCAATATTGCCAAAAACAGCTCAAATTGGCTCTAATTTTTAGCATTTGCATTTCATTTTAGTATCAGCTTTGTCTCTGATGTTTCTACTGAAATTCCTGTTGTTTATAGTGCAATTAAATTATGTATAGCCTGATAATTTACTTTTATAAGAATTTGGTGAAAAATGTGAGAGTCCATACTAAGATCTCCGACTTTTGATTGCAGATATTGGTGTCTCTTTGCAAATCTGAGTGCTCTTTTTTTCCAACTCAAGAGGAGATTACATGTTTTTTTGTCCTCAGGAGAAAGATCTTAAAAGGAGAAGTCTCCATTTGTTCTTTATTTCATCTTATTGCTGTCTAGTATGCTCAATATATTTTTTCCCTAAGAGTGCCTGACGTTTTCAGGTAAACCATAAGACGTTGAAACACAGGTGTGTTTGATTAGAGTTGGAACTGAACCCAGGAAGGTAGCAGACCTTAGCATCTTAAATCAAGGGTTTGAGTAACATACAGTACAGAAAAAGTGCAGAGACATCTGAAAAAAATCCAGCAAGACAGCGGCTTTTGAATCCATCATGAAGATTTCCAGTAACCTTCCATTATAATCTCCACACCAAATGTATTTTCTGGTGACATCTTCGAAGTTTTTCAATTGTTCACCCCAATTGTTCACATTGCACCTAATGAGAAGTGTTTACCACTTCATTGGAAGCTTTTCTTTAAGCCCTTCCAGCTGTGACGGACAGATGAAAGGCTGATGTGTGCACAGAGAAAGTCACTTCGGCTAAAACGGTTGATTTACCACGAATAAAACTGCACATGAGAAAACGACACTGAGACGTCATGACGCATCAGGAGCCGCACTTATCATAGGTCACGGCTTGCTGGAGAGGACGACAGGGCCCCAATCCTCACTGTTGTTGGATTTTTTTCATTTTATTCCTTCCACAAAAATACCTGTTCTGAGTTTTGATGAAAATGTGAGTGTTTTCGCTTAAAAACAGAGAAGAAAATTCTAATTTCAAATTAAATTTTCCCATGAAAAGCCCAATGCCATGATACTAGGGTGTTGCCAGGACATTGTTATATGGTTACTAGGATGTTGTGAATGTTTTTTGCACATTGCTAAGCAGTTTTGTAGGTGGTTGCTGACTGGCCAAGTCTCTGATATTCTGGTCTCTAGATATGGCTCATAACTGCAGTGTAAGCAATAATAATAATTGGGCTTACTTTAAATGAATAGTTCACCAAAAATGAAAATTAGCTGAAAATTTACTCACCTTCAAGCCACCCAAGATGTAGATAAGTTTGTTTCTTCATCAGAACAGATTTGGAAAAATTTTGCATTACATCACTTGCTCACCAAAGGATCCTCTGTAGTGAATGGGTGCCATCAGAATAAGAGTTTAAACAACTGATAAAAAAACATTAAAATAATCCACACGACTCCAGTCCATCAATTAACAAGCTATTAAAGCTGTATTTCTTAAAAAAAGTCCATATTGGCGTTTGGACACACAAGTGCATAATCCATAATAATGCATCTTCTAGTGGAAAAATCCATCCACTGTTGTCCTCTCACATTAAAATCTGCGCACATATTTGTTTAGATCTATTTTGGACTGTAAATGGTGTTTGATCTGTGCATATTTCTCTCCTGATTCAGACAAGACAACTTATTCACTGGAGAAAACAATATTATAGATAGAGGACTCGTATTTCAGTGGGAAGTAATGGTTTGACGTTTGATGGATTTGTTTCTTACAAACATGCAGCTTTTCTCGTAACAAGCTGTTAATTGATGGACTGGAGTGGTGTGGATTACTTGTGAAGTTTTTATCAGCTGTTTGGACTCACAGTCTGACGGCACCCATTCAGAGGATGCATTGGTGAGCAAGTGATGTAATGCCAATAATGAATAAACAAAGTAATCTACATCTTGGATGGCCAGCAAATTTTCATTTTTAGATGAACTATTTTTTAACAAATTGCAGTTAAAAGTGGGTCAGTCCAATTTAAGAAATCTCAAGGGGTGTTAGAGGAGGGGTAGGAAGAGAAGAGAAAGACTGTAAAATTCACATGCTTTCTTAATTCCTGGCAGTACATCAAAGATTGATACTGTATGTAGCTAAATTACTAATAATCTCAGTTGAAAGTGGAAGGACGAAAAGCCAGTCCATTTCATAGCATGGGATTCCAGAGGATTTGACCTATAAGAAGGATTACTCACGTTCTTCTACTTTTATCTGTCCTCTCTTTGTGAAGTTTACATTTCAGAGTTCTCACAGTTATGTCAGCTGCTGTGTGAATCAGGGTTTGTGCATTTATCAGTGCATGTATGTGTGCCACATGGGGTTTGAAGCATAGTCCGTTTGGCTCCGCTGATCAGTGTTGATCCTAATTCTGCACCTGTGATGGGTGGTTAGTCCCTGTGGTCACAGTCAGAGCTGATATGGGGCAACAAAGAGAGATGTGGATACTAATTCAGCTTGGACAGAATAGACAAAAGTTTGGAGTCAGTAAGATTTTTTTTTTTGAAAGATATTAATACTTTTATTCAGCAGGGATGCATA